TTTAGAGAAAGAAACTGCTCAGTAGGGATGCTGCATTGTTCTTCAGGTTCTTCACCTTCTACAAAAGGGATTTCTACAGATAGGCCATAAGTTAGTGACCAGTTTGATTAAGTGATCTAATTGATGCATTCAGTGGTTTGATATTTTTTTCATGGGAGATACTAAATAGCACATACCCAATTCCATTACTATTTCTCCACTATCTCAGAAATTTCTAAATGATCACAGGAACATCTCCATTTTGTAAGATGGGAGTTTTATTTTGCAATCCTTTATCTTCAAGTTGTTTCTTTAATGGAATAAAAATCCAGTATATCACTGTGAGCTCCTCTGGCCACAGAGTTTTTATGGAGTGCAAGCAGCTCAGCAGAGGTCCAACATACATTTGAAGTTTCTCTCAACTTCAGCCCTCTTTGCTGCCTTCTTCCTATATTCTGACTTGCCAAAACCAGACAGAATTCATCTTCCCTTTGGTATTTTCAGAATCCCCACCAAAATACATCTGATGCTTTTAATCAGTATGAATGTATTGGGAGATAAGATGAAATTCCTTTTTGAGGTAAAGAATGGACGGAACAGGACAGTCTGAAACACAGAGCTATTAAACATTGAGAAGAGCATCACTATCATTTCTAGGTGCTGTTTGTGCTCACATAATGTTCTGTTCCAGGTTCCAAGGAAGGTCCCTAGATCCAAAGATCTAGAGAAGCATTACAGGTTATGGAATCTGTCTTTGAGAATCTGAACGTGACATATCAGCTTACTTTATTTTCTTCATTTTTGGAGTCGTTACACTTCATGCATCACACTTGAAGATGTGTTCTATCTCTGAACATCTCATTTGTTCAAATTTGTTTGCACAGCGGTAGAAAAATGAAGAAAGATTTTAAAAAGAGAGCTTGAATTATTATTATTATTTTTTTAAAGCTAGTATCACTCTTAGAATTCAGATGGTTCTTATTAACAAAGGTTTGGACAAGAATCAGGATTTACATTCCCTTCTGAATAGCTGGAATAAGATCATTAGTTGGAAAAGCTTACTGGCCCTTAAAGACGTATTTTTCTGCTGTAACTACTTTTGGCTGTAAGATGGGATACTAACATTGTAGTCTGATTACCCTTTACTTTCTCTTTCCAGATGAATTCTAGTTTGATACTGGCACTATCATTATTAAAAAAAAAAAAAAAAAAAGAAAGGGCTGAAATTCCAGTTCTTTCATGTGGTACAACACATCTTTTAGTTCTTTGGACTTCATTTCGGGTCATTTCATATTGGAAACCAAAAATCCCAAGGTACACACCTGGCACAACCAGCTCCAGAACCATCTGGGAAAGGTGCAGAGAGAGGAAAGGACAAGGTGGGATGGATCTGTTTGCACGGATCTCAAACAGAGCCAACTTGGAGATGGATTTCTCCCATTCGTGCTGGCAGTAGTTTCCCTGTCAGTGCCTGAGATCTCCAGTCACTGCTGGTGCTGGGGAATTAGGGTGTAGGAAACCCTGCTGTCCTACGAAACACACACACACTTTGTAGTCCACGCTGAAAGCATCAAACAAATCAACATGTCATCACGTGTCAGTCTTTAATTTTAGGGTATGCTTTCAAACATTGTAATATGGAGATTAGATACAACTGTAATAGGTTAGGTAACTTCTTTCCAGCATTTTTCTCTCTAGCTAACTTCAGTTTACCATTTTTATTCCATTGAGGCCATTGACTTCAGGCTAATCAGATTCACATGATCCTTCTAAAGTTGGTTTCTGTTATTTATTTTCAGAGAGATTTATCTCAAGTGGCCATTAACTCATTTTTCCCTCACTGCACTAAAGGGATTTCTATCCAAACTGAGATCTGATATCTTTTATTTGTTGAATATCAGTTTGTTATCTTATATATGATATAATTGTCTGTCAAAGCAACTTTGTGCACGTTCATCAGTGTGTGAATGGTCAATCTGGCACAAAAAGAGCTGCATCCCATTGCAAGCTGAGCTCTGTGTGTCCTGTGCAAGAATCTTCTCCTTGTTGTGCTCTTCTGTTAAGAGTCTCCAATGTCTACTGCAAGAATCCAGCACCTGTTGCTGCAGGCTGCATCTCTCCTACTGGGTAGCTTCATTTGGAGTGACTGGCCTGTCAAAGAAGCCAGAAAGTTGATGGGCAATAGACTTGGTTTGTTTTCTGGGGTCAAAGTGTGTATAGAAATCCAAAGGAACTGTGCTCCTTCGTTCCGCTGCTGAGGGCTGAGGTTTGGGAACAAACAGAACTGGGGTTTTAGGAGCCCTTTGTGGTGCTCTGAAATCATCCCCTGAAGTGAGGCCCAGGCAGGCAGGTGCAGGGAAGATGTCATCTCAAGGTTGCTTCTTTGCAGAGGCATTAGCAATTGAAATATTTGGGTACCGGTTCAGGAGGATAGGAGTGACAAAATCAGGTGCTTGCAAATAAGTCATTCTGATTACTTACGGCCCAAGAAGAATAAAATGAAGCTTAAATAAAAATGCTTTCCAAATTCTGATAGGTTTCTGGTTTGGTGAATCCTCACCCTGCAGACCATGATTCACAATACCCTTTTTCTTTAGCTGTCCAAGGACAGAAGCATGGTGGGCTATCAAGCATCCTTATTATTCTCACTGCCTAGATTAAGGCTGTTGTCCATCCTGTGATGATGATGATCATGGTGACACAATGGATGATCAGGGCAGCATTTTTCTCAGTCTGCTGCTCTCCCTAGCAATACTCAAAGGAGCATTTCAGTACTGGAGGCCTTCAGAACAAAAGGAAGTGCATGAGACACAGGTAATTTCCAACTGGCTCTTCAGCATACATAAACCTCTTATTTACAGGATGAGTCACTGTAGATGTAATAGAGGAATTAAATCTTGAATTCATTAAAAATTCCCATTTTCTTGCTCATCAGCTTAGTGAAGAGACTAAGGAATAGGAATAAGGTGATCTTTAATTTTTTTTTTCCCCCAAAGTTCGTATTCTTGAATGCATGTAAATTCTGAAGCAAGACATTAGGAGGATATTATATTCATCTCTGGGACTACTAGGTACAAAGGAATAGTGAGTAGATGCTGTCTTCAGCATCATTTGAATAACACTGCATGATTTACTGGATTCTGCCACAGCTGGCAATCCGGGAAGAAGACAGCAAAAGAACTTAAAAAAATACAACCTTCTGAAAATAAACTCTTTTGTGGTTAAATAAGCAGCCAGTTGGAACTGAAGCTGTGTTTTCTTAGGGTGGCAGAACAGTAGGAAAAGCTGTTGGATTGTTTTTGGCAGCGGTCACTATTTTAGATCTATCATTACTAAACTGACAGAGTACATTGAAAGGGTTATTGCTTTATTAGTACATTCTTCCAAAAAACACAGCATACAGAAGTGCTGCACAAAGCGATACAATGAGCACATAACACGAGCTCGGAAGATTTCAGGTTTATGAAAATGAAGCTGTTGTATTTGGATCTTGGTAGCAGAACCAAACACAGTAAGCACACAAAATGGCAGCCAGCTCTCCTGTGGACGTGTGGCAGGCGTAAAATGAAGTCAACTTCAGAAAAAATGGAGCATTACTTTGTACATTGATGTTAGGAGCATGCTCTCCATAGCAGCTGCACTTTAATTTCCACACTGAATCTATCGGGATACTTTGCTATATGGGAGCACCTTGTACAACTCTGCTTTATCTTATTAAATGGGACAGATCAGTTACCTAAGTATTTAAGATGAATTTACAGTCTGAACCATATTCTGCTGAGAAGAGAGCTGAATACTGGATTCACCTGAGAAGAAAGAGAATGGTTTTCCTTTGATTTGGGTCTAGGTGATCATTTGCAGTGTTACAATTAAGATGAGTTATTTTTTGCCTTGATAGTAGCCAGTGGTCCAGCACTTAAATCTGCGTCTTTGTGTGCCTGCAAATTTTGTACCCTCAAATTCTTTTCAAATATCAGCAAAAATCAGATAATTCTTTGATAACAAACAGCCATCTCATCATTCCCCTTCTGTTGAATGCAGGTTATGATGTGCAAGAGCACACATGAATGAAAGATTTTAGGCATCGTCTCTTCACCAAAACAGTGCTGATTCCACACAATCAGCAGAGTCCCATCACCACCACTGGATATCCTGTGTGATGTTTCACCTGTATTATTTTTTTCCTTTGGAACTATCCTGTAGGTATTATAAATGCCTGTGTGGTCCTGGCAGACCTGCTTTAGGTGGCTCTACTTGAGCAGGTGGGTTGGATCAGATGGAGGGAAGGTTTAGATTGGATGTCAGGGGGAAGTTCTTCATAGAGAGAGCGGTGAGGTGCTGGAACAGCTGCCCAGAGAGGCTGTGGATGCCCCGTCCATCCCTGGAGGTGTTCAAGGCCAGGTTGGATGGGCCCTGGGCAGCCTGGGCTGGTGCCAGATCTGGAGGTTGGTGGCTCTGTATGTGGGGGTTGGAGCTTGATGATCCTTGAGGTCCCTTCCAACCCAAGCCATTCTATGAGATGGCCTCTGGAGGTGCCTTCCAACCTAAACCATGCTGTGCTTTTGTCTCTGGTTTTCAGTGAGTACTGATGACATGTGGTGTCATCACCTGTAAGCAGATTTGCCTTCCAGATGAAGAAGATGGGAGGTCTGAATCCTCATCTGTCCGTATCTGTTGTGCAAACTGAGCTCAGATGGTTCCATCAGCAAGCATTGCTTGGTTATGCTGCATTTCTCCTGCTTACAGTGAGCCTGTAAGATGCCTGAGAGGGATTGGGGACAGTGGATAATTAAGTAGGGTCTCGTAAAGGGGCTGAATAAGGTATCTTGTCTTACAAGCACACTGCTTGTGAAAGCCAAGATCAGCACTTCAGACAATTAATACAGCATAACAGTGAAAAAGGCACAGCTCAGAGAGTCAGGAGCGTGGATTTGTCCCTGTACTCCTGCTATCGGGTGGGGAAGGGCACTGAAAACATGTATTTGCTGGCTATTTACTGAAACAAATACTTCTAATTCTAGTTGAACACTGAGTAAGCAACTCCCAGACTCAGCTACGCAGCCAAACTGGCCCGATGGCATGCTGCAACAACCCCAGCTCAGCATCTGGATGAAATAAAGAGCTTTCTCAGGAGCAGCTTTTCGTGCAATATACACAGAGGTAAGCACAGCACACACACAGCAGACTGAAATCTTGTATTACCAGCATCACACAGCAGTCCAAACATCTCTACCAGGGGAAGTGTTTGTATGAGGATAGGTAGCAGGGCGTCTGATGAACAAATGAGGGAAGAACTGTCATCCTGAAATTAAAAAGTAATTGATCTGTCTTCTGAAAAGTGAAGATGAGGGCAGTTTGCATTTAATACTCTTATTTTTTGGAAATGCTTGGTTCTCTGACATATTAAACAAGCTGCATCACTGGTATCTGCTAGCTAGCTATTGTTTGGCTAATAGGGGAGTTCCCACGTATCTCTTCTTCCCATATTCTGCCTCCAGAAATGCCTTTTGTGGAAAATGGTTTATTACAATGAGAGAGAATTCACTTAGAAGTCACAGGGCTCATTAAATATCCTCTGGTTTTGTACAGCTCTTGCATTTTTGGTATTGAAAGGTTTGTGGTAACAGTTGTGGCCCATGTTACAAAGGCTGTAGTGCCAGCACTGGTGCTGCTGTGCATCTCCAGGGAAGCTCAGGTGGCTGCACTGGATGGGAACTATGTGAACACTTTGCAGAAAGGACCATGGAAGAGTCCAGTAGCTAAACACAGAACAAATTTAGAAACAACCCCCTAAAACAGCTTGTAAAACACCTTCACATCAGCAAAAGTCACAATCCTGACAGTCTTAAGGCATGCCTATTCCATAAATGTTAATTCTTTTGCTTGCACTGTCTTTGAGATTAATCCACTTTTTGAATCTGTTTTTTTATTTCTAATTGTTTTCTACTATGTTATAATAGATTAAAAGATTCAGTTCTGAATCTTCAGGAAAGTACCACATACCCCAAATACATTTGCTTGTGTTTGGGCCACGATCCCATAGAATGCTTTGCCAGAAGGACAGGAAATACAAAGAAAGATTTAAAATATGCAACCTAAGAAGCTCGGAGAAAAAAGTATGGCAGAAAATCAGGAAAGAGCTCTTTGCTGGCATTGCTATGCCTCTTTTCTATAGAAGGGAATAATAAAAATGAGTATTATGTATAAAACGATAGGCTGAGGCTGTTCTGGCATGTCTGAATTGCGCCTGGAGTTCGTTCTGCAAACCTTTTCCATTAACATTTCTGTTGGAAAAGCCAACTTTTTAGAGATGCAGTGACCCATCTGATTTTAATTTGGTTGTTGAACAAGGGGTTACTCTTTGAGTTGTGCACAGCCAAGCTATTGAGCTACACCTAGTTCTATTTCCTTGTACAGCTGATGATGGCTGCTCAAGTATGAGCAGCATGTGGGCAAGCAGCAACCCTCAGCCTTCTTTTAAGTAAATTAAAGTAGCTGGAACAGTAAGGACTTTCTCTGTGAGAGGCATTTGACTCCTAACCATCATATCATCCAGTCCAAAGGCTGCAAGGAGAACTGCTACTGTTGCTTATGGCATTTCTCTCTTTTGTCCCCGTGATGCAGGGACTGTAGCATCTCTTCAGTCTATTTGGCATGTCCTGCTGATTTCTTAAATGCTTGCTCAGCCCTGCACAAACACAGCTGTTTATTTCATTTCAGCTCGTTTGAGATAAGAAGTATCCACACAGGACCCTATGGTGCACGTCAGGGTTCTGCATCCCAGCAAAGCTTTAGTGCCTCTTTGAATTCTAGTTTGAGAAAGCTGAGCAGGAAGGAGTGAAGTCAACAGTCATTGACCCAAACCCAGAAAAACATTAGGACATGCTGGGAAATCACAGCAGAATTGCACAGCCTGATTCCTCTGTTTGAAAAACCCTGTTTGTCCAGTGGGTGTGAGGCTGCCTGCCTGCTGGCTGGACGCTGCAATTCAGGGCCAGCTGAAGCACGTCATGCAAAACAGAGCACCAGGACAGGGGAGGAGCCTGCATTGATAGGGTTTTATGTTTTTTTCCTGTTTATATCCAGTCTGTACCTCATAGTTCTTCACAGAGGAATACAATGTCAGCCCTTGACTGCAATTTCAGATCATGTTTTCAATGCCTGTGCTGCTGATTTGTTCCCTAACATATGGCTGATTTAGTCAACACATGGCAGTTACCTAATAAAGCATTACTGCTGCTGGTGTTCCAGCATAATATTGTTCTTAGAGATATTTTAGATATTTGTCCCGCATTTTTCCACACCCAAACAGATGTGCACATTCTCCAGGCTACAGGAAGACTAGCACTGACTTTGGGTCTGCTATACAGGGACATGTGTGCAACTCCTTGCTCGTGGCACTGAAAAAAGGACGGTGTGTTCCTCTGTGCCCAGTACTGTGACCATAATGGTTTTAGCTATGCTCTACCTAAGATACCAACCAGAAATAGTCTGTCACCCATGGTGCTCCTATGTAATACCCATATTTGTCCTAATAGGCAGCCTGAACTTGGACAAATCCCATCTGCCCTTGTGACATGTGATGTCTGAGCTCTTCTGGGAAGGAGCGTGGGCTTTATCTGCCCCAAATCAGCAATGTGGTGCGTCCCGAAAGGGCAGATGGGATAGATGGAGGCTGCTGGAGGCTGCTGAGCCAGCCAGAGTGCTGGGGCCTGTCCACATGGCAGGTAAGTGTGGCTGGGAGTGTGTGCTAATGGCCGGATTCAGGGGGTTCCCCCACTTCCACAAACACCAGCTCGGTGGTCCCCACCCTCACCCAAAGGACAGCCATGCAGACGGATGAACTAAACAGACAGCTGTTTTAGCCAAGGTCCTATTTCTATGCTTGCTCCTCTGCAGGGTATTTGCAGCCAAAAGACCAGTGCTGGCCGAAAAGGTTATTGCAAAAATCACCAGAGATTTTACTCCTGGGAACATGCTGTCGCCATATGGTCTCCGCGTTAATAATACCAAACAAGTGCTTCACAGTGTTCTAATAACAAATACCAGAGGAATTAATAATAATCTAGCTATTATTTTCTAATGTTCTCACTTTATGAACAACTTTTATACTGTCTGAATGAGCTCTTCTGGAAGATCAACATCTGGCACCCACATGAGAACCTGATGAAACCTGTATGGTCCTGGGTATCTTACACATTTATTGCCAGCAACACCATCTGTTTCTGCCAGCGTGGCTTACAGTAATACTACATTTTTCTTTTGTTCTAGGTGCATAGCGTAATGTCCATGCTGTACTACACTCTGATTATAGCTTTTTTGATCGGCACACAGGCAGCTCCAAAGTCAGAGGACAATGGTCCACTGGAGTATCCTGCAGAACACTCCTTACCCAGTACACAACAGAGTAACGGACAGCACATTTCCAAGGCAGCCCCACAGACAAGCCACGGCCGCTTTGCTTGGATGCCAGATGGAACGGAAGATTTAAATATCGCGATGGACCAAAATTTCTTTAAGAAGAAGCATTTCCGGTCTTCTCGGGTCCTGTTCAGCACGCAGCCACCTCCAGTGTCGAGGAAAGGACAGAATACGGGATTTCTCAGCAGCGCAGTCTCTCTCAACAGGACTGCCAGGACCAAGAGGACTGCACATCCCGTACTGCACCGGGGAGAGTTCTCAGTGTGTGACAGTGTCAGCATGTGGGTCGGGGACAAAACCACAGCCACTGACATCAAAGGCAAAGAGGTGACCGTGCTGGGAGAGGTCAACATTAACAACAACGTTTTTAAGCAGTACTTTTTCGAGACCAAGTGCAGGGACCCTAGGCCAGTGTCCAGCGGGTGCCGAGGGATCGATGCGAAGCATTGGAACTCTTACTGCACCACAACACACACCTTCGTCAAAGCACTGACCATGGAGGGCAAGCAAGCAGCCTGGAGATTCATCCGGATTGACACAGCCTGTGTTTGCGTGCTCAGCAGGAAATCGGGGAGACCCTGAGACGGAGCTGAACCCCACAACAACATCCTCCTATCCCCCTACCTCAGCCTGTAAATTATTTTAAGTTAAAAAACAAAAAAAAGGACTGCATGGTGTATTTATAGTTTATACAATACAAAAAGAACCTCGTTATTTATTAAACTCTTTTGGAAACCTTTCGTGTTTTGCAATTCATTGACCAGCTGGACTCTTCAAAAGACATTCACCTTTGTCATAATGCAGCCCTACAGCTCTGAGCTGTTCAAAGGGCCACTGGACAATCTCTGTTCAGCATTCTGCAGAAGTGCAGTGCTTTTGCAGCCCTTACGTGTATCCCTCTCTTCCACAACAGTTTCCATCACGCAACCCGTCAGCTTACTTAGACAAATAAGCTGAAATGTTTTGAGCAGTTACCAAGAGGCTGAAAAAAAGTCTTTTCAAAACTTGACTCTCGTTCTACTAATTATCCGTAGAGGTATTAGTCTTATTAGTCATATCAGTGAATTCCTGGTAGAAAACACTAATCTTCATGATGCCAGATGCATTTCTAAGCATGACTCGTAGTGCATTTTTTTACAAATTGGCAAAATGTTTTCACTGCAAAAATGATCCATTCTCAATTATTTTTGAATATTTGTCTGCATACGAGCAGAATCCAGGTATATGTATTTTTTAATTAAAATGCTGTTCTACAGCTCATTGCTCATGAGCTGTATTAGAGCGATGGGGTTATACATGTAAACCTAAATATGTAAGTCAAAAACCTTCACGTAGTCGATAATTAAACAGTAGGAATGATCTGAAGGTGGTTTTTTGGCAGTGAGGCATTGACACAGGAGCAAATGTTTTCACGCATGATAGAAAAAAAGATTTAAAAATACAAGTCCGTGTTTTAGCAAGGAGCCCCAAAAAAAACCCTGTGCTCATCATTTCTGTGCTTTGGAGAACACTGATTTCGGGAAGCAACAGTGGAGCCTGAGCTCCATGCTGGGTGTTGCAGTCATTACTCAATGGATAAAGCTGTGTTTTCTCTCTCACTGTTTCCTTTGGAAGAACAACTGCTATCCATTGTAGAAACTGTTTCAAAACAAACACCATTAGGGTTTTTAGCTTTGTTTCTTCCAAATCCTAGAGGGCACACTTTACTCACACACTGTTCTTTCCGTGACGGAAAAAAGCAGCCCTAACATTTGCTTCTCCAACCTCAACAGCAAAGGACAGCAAACCTTCAGAGAAAATGTAAAATAGTGTCAGTGTGAGATATAAGGTGACAGTACAGAGCCCATTCCAGATAACCACTGGTACTCCACTTTTCAGCCTCCTTTAGGAAGCGATTATGGTGTGGGACAGCGATATTCCAGTAAGAATGTTATGTCCTCTCCAGAACAGCATTTCTGCAATATTTGCATGAATAACCAGTTATCTGAAAGGTCAGGGAGCGGGCAGGATCCTGACTGTCCTCAGTCCTCCAAATAATGACCTCCTGTTCTGTCGCGGGGGAGGCAATGAAAACTATGAAATACTTTGAGTGTGATCACATAGGCTCTGTCACAATAGCAGAATATGGTAAGCGTGGCAACCACCTGCCAGTCGGCACAGGAGGGATGGAAGAAGAACAGTGAAAAACACAGTATTTTGAAGCCAAGAAAAAAAACAAACCAACAAAACCAACATAATTGGAGCAGAGTCATGCTTGTGCACTTCTGTGGCCTTAAAGCAATGGACAAAGGTCATAAATCTGGTCTTTACCATGAGTGACAGCATGACCAGGGAAAACTGTAGCCCTAAAACTGACCTTAAAGCAGTCTTGGGAGCTAATGGTCCTTCTGCAGCTAGCTGACTGTGCTACACCTTCAAGCACGTTCTTGCCATTCAGTCTCTGGAATCTGGAGGTTACCTGAGGGACTGAGGTAAGTGAGGGGTGTTTTGGGTGCAGCTGTGTGCCCAACTAGATGATTTTTTAGAGCACCTGACCAGGCTGTGACAGGAAGCTGCCAAGCTGAGGTGGATTCAGCAGTAAGAGAGATTGATTGATGCTTGGAACCAGAAAGGAGTGATCATGTTAGAAAAGTGCAGCTGTGGACCCAGTCATTACTGATGCCACTAAAAAAAAACAAAGGGTCTTTGAAATTGGAGGCTCTTTGCTGAGAGGCACTGAGGCACCCATCTGGATAACCTCTCTAGAGGGGTTTTCTGCCTGCTGGGAGCCTGCAACCAGAACATCAAGAAGAGGATACCAGGTATGGTAAAGCAGATCCACTACTATCCCCTCCTGGTCTTTCAAGCTGGGTTGCACGAGGCTGTGACCAGGAAATTAAATATCAAAAAAGACATGAAGTCCCTTGGGAAGATGTTGAAGGGACTGGGAGTGCAGGTGGTGTTCTCAGTCCTTCCAGTTGGAGACTGGGATCTGGGCAGAAGGAGAACGGATCAGCTGAATGACTGGCTGTGTGGGTGGAGGCACACCCAGGGCTATGGGTTCTGTGATCTAGGACACACCTTCATAAACCAGGAATGTTGTTGTGGGATGGGACACAACTGACTGGGAGGACTAGGTAACAAGCTGGCTGGACTCATCACCAGGGCTTTAAATTAGAGCTGCTGGGGGAAGGGGATCTACTGCTGAGTGACAGAGAAGAGCCAGGGAATGCTGTCACCTTAGGAAACAGCAAGGAAAAACATCAGATTTGTCCTGGAGGGTTGTGGGAGAGCTCCTCTAGGGAGGTAATGCATCCAAAAGCCCAGCTGAAGTGCCTCTATAATGCACACAGCATGGGAAATAAGCAAGAGAAGTTAGAAAGCACGATGCACTTGGAAAACTATGATCTTATTGCTGCCACAGAAACACGTGGAATGGTTCACATAACTGGAATGCCACCATTGAGGGCTGTAAGGTCTATAGAAGGGAAGGCAAGGTAGGATGGGTGGGGGAGTTGACCTCTATGTTAAAAAGTGGATAGACTGCAAGGAGCTCCCTCTGAGTAACTGTTAGGAACAAGTGGAGAGCTTATGGGTTAAGATAAGGGACTTAATGATCCTTAAGGTCCCTTCCAACCTAAGCCATTCTATGATTCTATGAAAAAGACACAACCTGTGCCCCAGAGTGAGAGAAAAAGAGCTGTCATTACAAGCTCTATGAGTTACTGTAACAAATCTGAACTTGATTAAAGTCACTGCTGGTAAACATTGAGCTAGTCATTATGGGGTGGTGAGAGGTGTATTTACTCTTGTAGATATTGCTGTGATCTATTCTGTGCTTATCACTTCAATTGATTTTGTGGTTCCAAGACTGCAACCAGGCTTCTGGTTCATCCTACATGATGGTGAACATGATGGTTTTTACTCACATTTCTTGCTGTTCATAAAACAAGGGGTCCAAAAAAGAGTGAGTAAAAAGAGTGAAAAGGACTCCACACAAGAGTTAATAAATCTTTTTTATTGAATTCATGCCCATAGCTGTCATCCAGCTACAGATGGGCTAAGAGAGAGCTTTTGAATAATAAATGTATACAGACCCTGCTAAAGTGGCTCCATACTTTTGGGATTTCAATACATAGATGAAGGAATACAGAAGCCACGTGACAGTTGCTAACAAATGCTACAGCAATTTTTCTACAGCACATCAGGATCAAATAATTGAATAATAAACAGAACAAAACGCAGGAAAGCATTTTTAACACCGTTGCTGACATTCTGGAGGCTTAGCCTTCCAAATCGCAGTGGACCAAACAATATATCTTTCTTAAAGAGCTTCTGATTACATCAATGAAAGTATCCTCATGTGTCAGAGACAGGTGAACAGTCGTGGAAAAGTCTTTAATGTCTAACGTTAAAAGTCTTCTATGATTCTATGGTGAGGGCATCTTAGCATTTTCCAAATCATACCAGCAATGCCTTCGAAGGGTGACTTAATGCTTCCATCACCTAACATGGGACTCATCCTTGCACCACCGCTGCTATTGCAGTTTACCTTTGGTGGTGGTGGTTTTTAGGTTTTGTATTGACGTGTCTGAAATCCTGCTGCGTCTGCACTGCTGAGTTGTACCAACAGCCTGTCGTGCCAAGAGTCCATTCTAACCTTCAGTCTTGCAATCAGGTTATAATCTGTTGAGCCTTGCCCTGATTATTTTCATTTCAATTGCAATATAGACAGGAGGTTTTGACACTGACAGAGGAAGAGCCTGGTTATAAAACAGGGGCACACTTTCCCTATACAATTCCTTTCATCATGACACTGATGCATTATCTAATCCCTTATTCAAACATGATTAAGAGAAGCGCTGTAGATGCCACACCCTTAGAATAATTTCTTCAGTAAGCAGCATCTTTCACTGGAGCAATTAATACCATTGTCAGAGATCTTTCTTGTAGAGATTGGAATCACTGTGTATTGTATTTTTATTTTTCTCTGTCTTCTAGAGGAGTTTCACTGTCTTCTAGAAAAGTCACATCTGACAAGATCACAGAATCATAGAATGGCTTGGGTTGGAAAGGGCCCCAAGGATCACCAAGTTCCAACCCCTGCCACAAGCAGGGCCACCAACCTCCAGATCTGGCAGCAGCCCAGGCTGCCCAGGGCCCGTCCAACCTGGCTTTGAACACCTCCAGGGATGGACAGAGCATCCACAGCCTCTCTGGGAGAGAGTTCTTCATAGAGAGAGCAGTGAGGTGCTGGAACATCTGCCCAGAGAGGCTGTGGATGCCCCGTCCATCCCTGGAGGTGTTCAAGGCCAGGTTGGATGGGGCCCTGGGCAGCCTGGGCTGGGATGAAATGGGGAGGTTGGTGGCCCTGCATGTGGCAGGGGGTTGGAGCTTCATGATCCTTGAGGTCCCTTCCAACCCTGGCCATTCTGTGATTCTGTGATTCTGTGAACTTCCCCTTGACATCCAATCTAAACCTTCCCTCCTTGAGCTTAAAACACTCCCCCCTGTCCTATTACTGTCTACCCTTGTAAAAAGCTGATTCACCAACATTATAAGAGTTACGAGAGTCACTGGACCTGACATGTGATCTTAAATTCCAGCACTCTGAAGATTGTTCATTGACACTTCAACCAAGTTACTTTTCAAAAAGTAAACAGAAACTAGCAGAAACTAAGGAACACTGAATGTTGTAGCCTGAAGTGGAAGAAACTATGGGAGAATATGGAAGAACCATTATACAGCAGTTTAATACTT